GAGCACAATTCCCAGCAAAAACACAAACACCGGGCGGACAACGCTTGAAGTAATGACGTTTGTACAACCAAAAGTCACGGAACGAACAGAGCACATGCGGGCGCATGCTCGGATCACCATCCACACCGATGCACCCGCATCTGCCACCACTAATAGCGTAGATCCGTTGCAAAAACCTGAAGTTGTGCGACCCAAACTCGTAGGCGAAATCCCCATATTTTTCAGGAGCATCGAACCCACAAGGTGGAAGAGGCGTACTCCTTTTTTTGGTCCCATTATTACTGCAGCAGATGGAGGCTTCTCGCACGCGCAGCTGCTTCATTATACGCACAAGACGTTCCGTAGCTTCGGCCATGTCTCGATGGTAGCTTTCTCCGATCCAAACGACCTTCGACTTCTTTGCGGGCGAAGACATGACGCACGAAAAAAAAAAACGGCAACCCGCGCCCCAACCCTACCTCCACACTCTCGGAAAACACAAACGAGCACGCCAGAGGCAGCGAAATCGCACGTTTGCAGCGACACGAAGACGCCGCGCGCGGGGCGCTGCGAGCAGCGCTGAATGCCCCGGCACGGGGCGCCCTTCCGCAGCCCGCGGGGCCCCGAACGCCCCGGGCGGGCCGAGCTAGCACAGCGGGTGGGTCACGAAGCCCACCGGAGGTCCTCGGGCAGCGATTCCACGCTAAACGCCCACCATCGTCTAAGCCGCCCTAGACGATAGACGCGAGCGTCCTTAGCGAATAAAGATCGCGGTCAGCGCATGTGACAGGACCAGCACGTTGTTCGAACGTCAACGTGAATACTCGGGCTTGACTAATTAGCGAGATAGTAAGATCCGGGACGGGGAAGCAGCCTAATGGGGGTATCCCGAGAATATCGCCCCCTCGTTCTTCCCCCCTTGTCTAACCCTACTCTATTAATGGAGTGCCTCAGGCTCAGGAGATTCGCGCTCACCGAGCCTGAGACTTTTATAAGTCTTCCATAGAGCCGGCGACATCGTCTGTTTAGCGTTTGCTTAATTGCCAGTAAAAATTAAGCGGTACTGAAAGCGGTACTAAAAGATTTATATCTAATGGGATAAAAAAATTAATTTATGTGAAATTGTAAAGGTTTTGGGCGTTTGTTGGTATTCACTTCAAGTTGAAGCTATATTGAACTAAGGTAAATCCCCTTAATATAAGGAGCCGAATTATATTCCCCGACAAGGGGAATTTTACGCGCAGCGTATTCGGCTTCTTTTATTAAGGGGATTTACCTTAGCATGTTGGCCTACGCAAGGCAAGGACATTGAAAAATATCCACGCGTGTTGAACAAAAGTGTCTTGCTCTCGTATACCAGGGCCCTCCCAACATGGCTGGACCGTAGCGATCTGATCCCTCGGTACGAGCCTTTGTCGAGCTATGCACGCACTGTTTCTTTTCTCCACCCCCGCAGAGGGTACCGGCGCGGAACTTTGCAAAGCTTTACAAAAAGATGGATGGAACTGTACTTGGGTATGCACTCAGTCTTCGAAGGTTGCGCAAATGTTGCCTGACGATGTTAAACTTGCCTGCATACCATACCCACCGATGCCCAGGCCGTGAAATAAATGATGCGTTCTTTATCAAGGCTTATACACATATTTTTTCTCAGTCCAAAGTGAGCTACCAGGCGGCTGGTGTCAGTTGGTTGTATATCTTCCTCATGACCATCGCATCATACTTCCCTTCGCGTATCTTCCGATCCGTCTCGCTGACAAGACATGCACTGACGCAAGAGTTCAAAGAATCGCGGCCAACGCTAGTTATCATGGACAAAATATCAGCGAGCGTGTTTGACTCAATATTCAAGGGCGAGGCGCTTGCTGCAAAATGTAAAACCATACCACGTATTGTTCTCTTCCACGAAGGGGTCAAATTCCGACCACAATTCATCATCGATGCATGCCAAAGCTCTTGCCAACTATTTAGACTTGGTTCCCTATGTACGGTAGATTTCTTTGCTGTAAAAATATACTTACTTTTGGCACTATTTGCATTGCGTGTTATGCTTTTCTTCACACCAAGGAAAACATTGGACAGTATGTTTGGAGTTCCCAGTCATTTCCTTACGGAAACTGTTGTTTACTGCACAAGACCTCAATTCGTTCTCGGAAATGGTTCGCTGACTTGCCCAACACGCGATGCACAGTACATTGGACCCCTGTTTGAATCGCCCCCCGCCCTGGATGGTGAGATGAAAACTTGGTTGGAAAATGTCAAAGCGCCCATTGTATTCGTATCGCTCAACTCAATCTGCCACGAAAACAGTCATCTGCCCGCTGTGTTGCAGGCCCTTGCCCAGTCAGAGTACATCTCCTTAGTCGAAGTTACCGACCAAGAATACTGGTGTCGGCAAGGATACGATTCCATTCGTTTCGTGTCTTCAAAAGATCGGCATCACAAGTATGCCTATCTCCCGTTCGCTTCTGTCTTCATCACTCAAGGTGATTCCGGTTCTTTTCATGCAAGCGTTCTTGCTAGTGTACCATTGATTGTATTGCCTCTGTACGGCGACCAGTTCCATTGGGGAGCTGTTGTTGAAACTCACGGTCTGGGAATCAGCTTGCTGCTCTCTCCAAATCGAGTGGATGAAGGTTGGTCGATTCTTCCGAGCATCGCTCGAGTCTTGGGGAGCAAGAGTATCGAAGACAATCTGAAGGAACACTCTGAGTTGCTTGGAGCTGGGCGTGGTCTAGCTTCTTTCCCTCAGTTGCTCGT